AGAAAGACGGGAAGTTCTGCGCCTGCTGCTACTGTGAGTTCTTCGGCCACAATGCGGTGAGTGAGGGGCTGGTCTGCAGCCACCCCTGGTGCTTGTGCTCCGCTCTGCGGTGAGACGTTACATGGTCAGTGTTCCGGGAGTGTGGGTGTGGGATGATCTGATCACAGCTATTCCCTGCCACCGAGTGCATTGCCCCCTTCATTTTCATCCTGCCTCATCGGCCTGCTGGTCCCCTTGCTCCTGACTCACAGCCGCCTGCCCAGCCCTGAGGCTTGGCACAACCAGCCAAACGCTGCGGCTGTGCGGTGGAAAAGAGTTCAGCAAGGGCCGTGCCGACTTGTCTCCCTGAGACCTGGAGGAAGGGAGCGGTTGGGGAGGTCAGTGGGGGACCGGTGTGGGAGCTGGGGCCGCCGGTGCGTCATGCTGGCCTTGCGTTTTTTTTTCGCCTCCCGCAGCCTCCAGCCGCTCCCACAAGCCGCAACTACGCCGAGATCCGGGAGAAGCTGCGTTCGCGCCTCACCAAGAGGAAAGAGGAGTTGCCACAAAAACTGGGGCACAGCAGCAGCTCGGGAGAGCCCGCTGTGGACCACCGCAACGTGGACGAGCTGCTGGACTACATCAACAGCACAGAGCCCAAGCCCTTGAACAGTGCCAAGGCAGCCAAGCGGGCACGGCACAAGCAGAAGAAGAAGGTGAGGCTGGGCAGGTTGCAGGAGGGAGGTCAGGGCAGGACTGTGCTCCTTGAAGGGCCTTGCCTGCTCTCCTTCACATCCGTTTGGTTTCTTCAGCTGTGTCCTTTGCTGCCCTCTCCCTTGAGGTGACAGTGGCGCCTGGCTCAGTGCAGGGTGCTGCCCCTGCCTCTGTTCCTGCGGAGGGTGGCCCAGCCCTCCCAGGTGCTTTGGGCCACACTGTCCTTCCCGCTTCGTGCGATGGCTCTGACAAATGCTGCGCATCTGTGGTGGAGAGAGGCAATGCCACGATGGCTCATGCTGGTGCCTTGCGCCCAGAGTGGTGTCCAGCATGCGGCACGTTGGCTGTTGTGGTCCCCGTGGAGGACGCGTGACAGTTTTAGGGGCCTTTGAAGATGTGGGGCGGCCGTGCTGGGTGCTGACCCTTGGGC